GGAACTGATTAAACTCCTTAAACGAGGTTCCACTGTATAATTAAAAAATGCACAACACTTATTTCTTGCTGACGATTGAAGGTTGAAACTTACAAATTTTGAACCAAATCACTGATTGTCAGAAATAATATGTAAAATGGTAAAATAAATGCAAGGGAGCAAAGGAAAAACTACGCGGAGCCAGTATAAAAAATTACATATTATATATAACCAGGACTCGACAATCTTTTCCAATAGGAGGGCATATTTCAGAAATGCAGGAGTTCTGCGACCACCATGTGATAAATAGGAGTGCCGTGGATGGGTGGGGAGGTGTACTATATAAATATGTTATGTATGAGCGGGGGTGACGTCTAATAATTTGAAAAAAAATCTTTAGATTTAAGTCGCATCTTTCATATTTTTAACTTAAAATAAGTTAAAAATTATGGTCCAGATAACTCAAATAAAAACAACCAAAATTATCTTTTCAATTAATTAATGCATTAATCAATTTAGATTATATTTTTTTGTACCATTTTACTTGTTGCACATAGTTATCGCATATTTTGGACAGAGGTCACAGTTTTCGTCTGGTCTGATTCGTGCGTAATATGTCTAGCAAATTACGTCTGCGAATAACGATTAACCATTTAAAAAAAATACTTACGATTAAAGCAACACATGTAGTATAACAATATTTATATATATTTTCAAATAGAATAAATCAGCTGAATATTTACAATTAATGCATTAGTTAAATATAGATAAAAAAAAGTATAAATAAATAATAAATTTAACATTTATTATTTAATTTGATTCTTATCAACTTAGGTGTATAATAAAAAATATTTAAGCACTCAAAGAAGTGATGCACCTCTTTATGTAGTGCATTGATTTGAAATCGGTGTGCCGTGTTTTTTTTTAATGATCATTAAGTACTAGCATAATTTAAGTGTTAAAAACTTATACATTTTTTAAAAATTGTTTCATAATATCGGGGCGTCTTACAATCTTATGAATTGTATCGAAAATATGGTAAGTCAATATAGAAATATAGTTAACTTATTAGGTGGCAAATTTATGATTCAACTAATGTTATATCATTACTATTATCAGTGAATAAAGTAAATAAATATAGTATGATAATAAACACTATATGTTTATATAAGTACCAATCTTTAATAGTTGTGTATGACAATAGCATACGTTTTGTTAATAATTGACAACAAATAAGTGACTCTAGGAAGTACATCAATGTAAAGGATTCGTCGATGTGATAATCTTGAGATGCAACTATTCTCCATACAACATATTTGTATTAACGAGGAAAGAACGCATACTCCAGACAGGATCATCTTATCGCTCGCCACTGAATAACATAAACATTAATTGATGAGTAGAGCAATAAAGAAAGAAACGACTGAATAGAGGATATGCGTCTGAGAAGGGAATCAGTTAGGTATAATGGCACGAATCCATCCATTATCAGCGAAGAAAACAAGACGCATATGACCCGCACGAAAAACGTCTCAACAAGGTCCGGTTCATCACTGATAACGTGAAAAATATAGGCATAGCATTCGTACTCGAACCCATTCGTCCCTCGTGAGCCAATCTACCAACAACTAGTAAATTAAAAGCTTAAAACACTTGTAACAATCAAATAAGTGATACTTGTTAGCGAGATTGATTCAATTGTAGTCTGTTTTCTCTATATTTTCAATTTAAGTTAATATGAGTAAATTAATATTTACGTATCACGCTTTGGCATTCTTTCATCATGTCTGCATGTTGAAGATTGGTAAATTCGATGTTCCCTATCATCAATCCGAGGACCCAAGAATCGTCGAGATGGAAGAATTTGGACCAAGATATTTGACTATTTGGAATATCGTAAGTTAATTACATAATTTAATACCAAAAAATAATTGAATCATACAATTTATTTTTCGAGATAAAAAATACGTCACACTAAGTTTAAAGAAAGTATGGTACAATTTTTAGATAAAAAAAATATATAAACAATAATACATTACAAGTTTATTGGCAAGAAAAAGCAATATATATATACAATATATTTTGAACTACTATATGTATGCTCCATACAATATAAATTGCATTTGTAGATGATAATATATTAAGATATTATAAATATTTCAATAAATCATTTCATTTCATGTTTCTTTATGGTACAATAATTATTTTTAAAAGAGCTTTTTGTTGTTAATTATAGTATCAATTATAGAGTATATTATGTTTATGATCAAACGAGTTGAATATATATTCAAAATTATGTGATATATTTTTATTACTTTATTTATATTTACATAATATATTGAATATGTATTAAAATTATTATATTTGTTTCAGTTGGTACAAACGTTATTCCTGTTCATGGCTATGTGCGAGGACTGGGTTCGATTACATCCGAATAAGAAACGTTTTGAAATTATTGCAGACCAGTTGGCCAAAGTCAAAGGATATTTGTACACAGTGATAATCTTCCCAACGACACTCGTAGTGTCGCTTTTTTTCTGGATCCTATTTCACATTGATAGGGACTTTGTGCTACCAGAAACTTTTGAACAAATTGCGCCTTTTTGGTTGAACCACGGAATGCACACGAACATTCTCGTAGTTATTGTAGCCGAGCTTTTCATCGCCAAGAAGGGTTTACCACGACCAAAGTTTGTAATCGCAGCATTGGCATCCAGTGGTTTTGCTTTGGTCTACCTAGTACAGTTCTTCGTGGCTTATTGGCAATTTGGCCGATGGTTATATGGTATCTTCTACCATTTGTCATGTGCTCAAATGGCCGGTCTTTTTCTATGCCAACACGCTGCCTATCTGCTTTTCCTGCGGATGGGTTTCTTACTCCAGGATAAACTGCACACGAGTCATCCACATCTCAAGGCAAATTAGCTCACCACAATTCCATCTTATTAACTTATTTGACACGCATTTTATGATGATTAATATTTAATCCAACTGTTTTTTTATTTGTTATTGATAAATAGTTAAACTAAATAAATGTATCTTATATTATTTTTCAATGCTTTTTATACTTTTATTAACTTGAATTCCCCCCACCATATCATACAGTATTTTCTCTTTTCTTAGATTTAGATACCTGTTATTCACTGAGTGAAAGCCAATTTTAATAAGTGAAATGTTGAGTAGCGGTCGAAAAGGAAAAGAATATCTTCCAATGTGCAGTCGGTTGCCGTGTCGATGATACCGTTTCGATCCATCATGTGGCGGTGGAAGCCTTGAATGTGCATTTGTAAGTCATCAAAAACATTACGCTCGTGGAGTTTATCGCAGACAGTGCACAGTTTTATATCATGGTTGCAGCCGAAGCTCCTCATTATTCAACGATGAGCTCGACAAGCAGGACCATATTTCTAACCCTCTTGGGGTTGCATCATATCACAGCCTGGGTTAGAATGGCCATGATCAAGGATATAACGGTAATAGATCTTGAGGTGCAGAGAAAACTTTCTGTCTATAAGGATTTTGGACCCAGGTTTCTTACCAATTGGAACTTTGTAAGTACTAATATAATTAAGAAAAACAGAAATTTAAAATACCAGACTTTTATAATTACAATAAAAACAAGTATCTAGTTTCAAACTGCAATCATTAAAATAATGTGTGTGTTTAGATTATTATTTTGTACAATTTTGAGTAACATCATTTCCTGTTACATTTATTTCCATTGTTACAATACTTATTTCGAGCAGTAGCATGAAAATATGACCTTAAATACATTTGAATATGTCAATTTTGTCGAAACGATAATATTTATAGCGAAACATAATGAGCAACATGTTGAATACGTTTTTGTTGAAATATAAAGTTATTGGCAGTCTTTCAGTCCTTATATTGGCTCTTTTTATTTTTTAAGATTGTATTGTATTAATATAATAAAATCGCCTGAGTCATTTTTAATTAATGTTGAAACAAAGTTGATTAAATATCATATTTATTACAAAAACAAAATGATTATAAATATTCGTTTAATAAATAATGGAGTTCAATTATATAATTGCAATAAATATTCGTAATAAACTATTTAAATTACATACTAATTATTCTTCATTTAAAGAAAAACAAAAAAAACATGTTATAAATATTTTCACGGAATATTGTGTAACAGGTCAGGTCGTTTGCGTGCGATCTGTCTAATTTTAGATAGAAATAAAAAGTAAACTGGTTTCGACATGCAACATGAAGTAATATTAATAATACTGTCTTTATGATTACATGCAGCTTGTGTTAGATATATTGAGTAGCGTCGCTAAGGTTAGTTAACCGGGCAAATGATGGGTTAGTTGGGCCCCAATTCATCTTTGATCATCATTTTTTATCCATGAAAATTTGAATTTTTTCACAATATATATCATATCTATGCACGTTGCCTTAAAATTTAAAGGATGGCACTGGATATATTTTTGTGTTGTAAACTGGATTCTCATGGCCAAGACGAGTTATCTAACACTTTTACTCACTACATATAAGTGACTAAAAATGGTGCTTCTGTTTAAATAGCGTAAAGACAGTTGTTTTTTAAGCGTCAATATATTTAACTATGAGAAGAGAAAGCTACAATTATTTCTATTGCTATATTATGATTCTAATTTCTAGTAGCTTTAGTAAATATTTTATTAAAAGTTTACGTTAAAAACTACACAATGATGGTACAGATTTGATAATTATTTTATTTTTTTCATTGCGAATATCAATCAATTATGTTTTTATTATTTGCATTTTTCTGTCTATAAATAAATATAAGAACTTATTTATAAATTGACAACTAATTATACGAATTTAATTTATGTTAGAATTGAGATACTTCTGTTACAAAACAACACTATCAGTAGCGGATTGTCCAATAAGGCAAAGACGCCTAGAGACCAGAATCAAGACATTTTCCTATATTATTTAAAAATTTAAAATAGTTTTTTAGTAAATTTACTGAACACTATATATAAAATGTTTTTATTTTTAGTTCAATCAAACAGTGTATATATTTATGGCATTGTACGTAACTTTGGCACCGAGGATACTGAAGAACCAGACTAAGTTGGTAACGAAGTTACGGAAGCTCAGTAGATTCAACTTTTGGAGTGTTGTCTTTCCGTGGTCTGTGTTTATCCCGATGTTCTTTTGGAGCATATATATCTACGACCGTGAACTGATCTTTCCATCCTACATAGATTATATTTTTCCTCACTGGTTAAACCACGCAATACACACGAATATAGGTTTTGTAGTGCTCTTCGAAATGCTTACCAACAACGAGAGACCGCCGTTATTCAAGAAAGCTTTACGTGTACTCACTATATATGCAATTTTCTACGTTTTCGTGTAAGTTAACAAATCACTCAAAATCCGAATTTCACCTTAAATATTAATCACTAATATGTTTTCAGCTTAAACTTCACATATTTCTACAATGGCGTGTGGTTGTATGTGTTTTTGAATTTATTGAATTGGCCGCAACGCATCGTTGTATTTTCAGGAACCTACGTGTTTTTAGTTACATTCCTTTGGTTAGGTCTTAAGTATCAAGATCGAAGGTATCGAAGGCTCGTAGCAGGTCAAGTTAAAAGTCAATAGATTTAGTGAAGATATTCTCGTACGTGGTGGATTGCTGACTGATATTCTCGTATATTTCTTTGTCCATCTTCAGCATATACAGTGCAATGTTATATAAAAACATAAACTGATCCTGAGAGTAAATTGTTATTATTTTTCTTACTAAATGTTATCATATATATTATTATGTATTTCCTTACTTTGTTTTTAATTAAGTTTTTCTTGAACTTCCCTACGCTCCTAACAGCCCAACACACGTCGACCATTGATTCCTGTTCCAGTTTCTTTAGAATCATATCAGATGCCATGAATATGCCGCATCCATTCTCGCCATCCCTTTTGTAAAAAAAAACAGAATAAAATAGAAACAAATATTTTTTTACATTTTGAAACTTACGAGCAACATAGAATACATTGATCAACATCAAATGTCCTGTAATATTTGTACAAATTGTAAAAGTTCTCGATTTCTGGCATAATAAACACGTTCTCCCATGAATGAAAATCTATAAGCGTGACCTTATGTGCTTTATCCTGCAGTATCTTCCCTCCTAATAATATCCTAAGTTCATAAACGTTAAACGCTGAGTAGTTTTGAACTGCTCCAAATTTCACCTTAATACTGGTATGTGGCATATTGTCTAAAAGTCCGTTCTTCTTTGGCCAGAAACTATTGTTAACCTTTAAAGGATAGATTTTAGTTGAGCAAATGTTTATAATTCATTATGTATTGAACCTCGTTCCGATTCAAGGAGATGATGAGTTTAGTTTTACGCATCAGTACAAGACTCCAGAAAATGGTGAAGTCCTTCTTATTCGGTTGCCTAGTACAGATATATTGGTTTTTGTATTCAATCCCGTGCACATACTTAGCGTTGATCGTCAGCTTTTCCAGGTCACCTTTAAAGTTTGTTACAGGAATGGTATCATTAATAGGCGTCGCTACTAATTCGTTAATGTACATTCTATCGGCTGTATAAGCTAAATCGTCTTCAATGCGTTGTATGCTCACAGAGTTCATCGTAAAATCTTCTTTGGAAATTGCTGTCTGCCGACCCTCCATACTTTCACTCATTATGAAGTAAACTAATCTATATTGCATCTACGAAAGTAAGAAATTTACATATGATTGATTTTTTTTTAATAATACTAACTCACCACATTTGCGACCATCGACTGCCTGTAATCTCTTATAATTTTCAGATATTGCTTCACATCACCGCCTAATCTCATCATATTATCACACATGATGAATGTACCGGTACGTCCAATTCCAGCACTGAAGAAATATATAATAAAAATTAACACTTATCAAATTGATATAAAATCACCTGCAATGAACAACAATAGGCCATTTAGTTTTGTCCGCTTTTTGTACCTTGCGGATAAAGTGCATTAAGCTGATCGGTTGTAAAGGAATTTCGTGATCAGGCCACGAAGTATACTGGAATTGCTGAACCTGTAATCCAATCAAACAATTAACTCTGCTTAAATGAGTTATCTAAAATGCTGTTTACCGTCTTTGTCGTTTCATTTTCAGTGAGTTTAAAGATTCTCAGACAATAACCGATACGCCATTCTGTCCTAACCAGTTCCACTTTAATATACCTAAAGTATCCTGCGATCGGTTCCGACCAATATTGAGCCATTTTGTTCTTATAAAGATTAAATGTATTATATTAAACAGTTAAACGTTTTTCCTCAACTTACTTTTCCTTCTGAAAACTTTGCTAAACAAACTATTATGGATACATTTTGCTGCCAGATCATCATCCAAAAGTCATTGATAGTGATTGCTTTAGGACACTGCGTCGCTATATAACTTTTTTCACCTTTATATCCCTGTATATAAATAAGTCACGAAAAGATTAAATAAATAAATTGAATTAATAATATAAATAATAAAAGTATTTACCGTTATATAGTTTGCATTTATATAATCGTTCTCATCTTCTCCCGTACTTAAACTCACTCGGGTAGAGTCGTCTAAAATTAATATTCATGAGTTTTTGAATAAATTAATCAGCTAATTTAAATTATTGTTGATCATATTTACAAGGTATAATATTATTGTAGCGATTTTTGCACTTGTTGTGTTGCAATATTCCAATTTGCCGCGGCATTAGCTTGTTTATTGATGGTATTTCCTTTGAAATTGAAATTTGTTAATACACACAAATCATAAATAAAAAAATCTTCATTACCTCGAATTCCTTATCAAATTGATGAATGTTTTCATTGTCTGACTGTAGCAGTGCGATATTGTACAAATTCATCTCGACTTGCTCATCGTTGGCCTACAAATATGAATTATTATTATATTCAGTAAAAGTCTATAAAACGATAACGGTACATTATGTAATTTCTTACGACACTTTAAATACCTAAAAGAAAAAATGTTAGCATTATTATTATAAACTAATTTTATGTTTATTTACCATATAATTAAAATTATGATTGCGACACTAAATACAATTGAGAGTACGATACTGACGATTAAACCAGAGCTCTCAGTTGTTTTTGTTGTTTTTGGCATCTTTTTGATTACCGTCTGTTCTGTCTCCATGCTTTTTTTAACATAATTTAAATGAACAATGTACTCATTATCATTTTCCAAAATGATTAATTGATTAACGGAGAAATTCAAATCGAAGATTAGTTTGTCAAAGTTTTGTGTGACTTTCGTTTGGTTTCCGTATAATACCCGGAAATTGTTTGGACAGGATTTGTTATTATCGTAAGAATAGAAGACCTGCATTTTACCATCACTTGTTGTATTGTATGTGAAATTCTGACGATTGATTTCTGCAATACAGACATTTTTAATATCTTTAAACAATCTATGTAAAAAGTTATCATTTTACTGTCGCATTTAGTTCTCAGTGAAATATAAGGCCCATTATCATATGTGGTTGCAAACATCGAAATGTTGTACGTAAGTCCCGGTTGCAAATTATCGAAAGTGAATTTTTTATTTCCATAGGCGCTTCTTTTCAAATTCTTACCATGTACCTATAATTAAATAAATGTAATTAATAAAAAAAAACATTAAATAGTAATCCATTTACAATTTTAAAAGTAACAGTTGTATTTATCAGCCTTGAAATCGTAATTGATTTGTAATCTATTGTAAAGTTAACTTGTTGACCACAAGTATATCCTAAATAACCATAATTGCATTCCAAACACTCGTTTTGATAAATACAGCGATGACAATTTAATGAAGGAGGACATTTAACTATGATTTGTTCTTTTACAGTATAATTGCTGAACCTGAATTGATTAATGTCGTTGCAAGTATGCTTAATATTGCTAACACAGTATTCAGCTTTTTGATGAGCATTTGGATTAAGGCTCATGCAGCTATCGGAACCGTTGATGAAAAAACCTCTAAATTCTGCGAAACGTAACAAAGATCAATACAGTTATTTTTATATAATAATTATTTAACTTTTACCATTTTCCTGGCAGTCACTCACACGGAAGTTATTTAAAGATAGCCAATTAGACGTATTTGCTAATATATGGATTTTCTGTGTGGTATTAATATGAAATTTCAGCTCTTGCCAATTTTTGTTTCTTTTAACACTCTGCAAAACGATGGTCATAATTAAATCAGTATGCATAACAGATTCGAATTATAGGATTATGAAATCCTCAATAAACTATTACCAAAAAGCAATAGAATTTGAGAATCATAATTTATTATTTGAATTGAATAATATAATAAAATCAAGCATTTAATTGAAATTTAACTGAATATAAATAAGTGAATAGTGTAATTGAAAATAAGAACATGCATAAAATGTTAATATTTATAATCCATGTAATAAATTACCTTTGAATCTACAATCCAAGTTTTTGTCGAATCATACAGTACTATGTTATAACTGCAATTAGAGCAATAAACCATCATTGATAAACATGACATTTTTCTAATATTGATAGGCAATTCTGTGATCCATTCTGTACTATAAGGTACTTGAATAATATAAACTTAAAATTAAAAATTAAATTATGAAATTACTTGACAAATATAAAAACTTTTCATTACAGTAATGCAACTTGATGTTGGCCTTGTAGATAGAGAATTCATCCAGTTTGAACAATGTTTTATTTTTGGGAAGTTTGAAACTTATGTTTTCTTCCAATGTTCCTAAAAACGGCTCCACATGAAATTCACCATCATGAGTTTTATATAGTGTGTAGTGTCTCCATTGTCCCTGT